GGACCCTTTGGATGACACTGGGCTCACCTGGATAATCCAGGCTCCCCTGCCATCTCCGGATCCTGAATCACACCTGCCAAGTTCCTTCTGCCATCGAAGGTCTCATGTTTGCAATTCTTGGGGGTTAGGATGCGAGCATCTCTGGGGGCTGTTGTCCTTCCCACCGCACCGGTTATGATGTTTTCACAACATCAGTGTGGTGGGAGAGATGGTGGGCTATAAATCCCATCACAGAGGAGAGACCAGATGTCCCTCCAGGCTCCCAGGCCACGACTCTCCATGTGTCTCGTGCTGTGGGGAGGACAGGGTGGCTGATTCCTGCTGTGAACGGACAGAAAAGCCCCAGAACAGCAAGGGCTTACAGGAGTCAGACCCCCAAGGCTGCCGCCTCTGGTTACATAAGCACATTAACCAGATCAGGGCTCTACTGTCAGATTCACTTCGTTTTCACTTCTGATGGGTTCCGCATCACTTCAGCTGCCTGGTTCTCGCCTCTCTCCCTCCTACCTCCAGCCGCTAGGACTGCTATCCTGCCCCGCCCCCACTCCACCCCAGAGCACTCCAACCTCAGCGCCCCCCCACCCATGCTCTATGAAGGGCTACTTTTACTGCTCTTAGACCCTGAAAGCCTTGGGATGGAGTGAATGTGCTTGGCGGGGAGGGGAAGAGACCCTGTTTCGAGGGCAGGGAACACAGCCTCCCCCTTTCCAGTGCAAGAGAAACTCGAGAGAGGTCCAAACCGGTCATACTGACAGCACCTACACAGCTCAGGGTGCCCCTGCTGCATAAGGGAGAGTCCTACTAGCGGATGACCTCGGGGCCTGTCGCCTACCGGGTCAGACACCCCCCTCTCTCCCACACCGCCATCGAAGCCCCGACACACCTCCCTTTGCACAGATGCAAGTCTGACCTCTTCCCACACTGTCCCTGTTTAGGCCCAGGTCATTTCTCAAAGAACTTCCCTGTCTCCAACCTCTGCCTTTTTCAAGCTAGCCTCCGCCCACTGACGGCTAGGGCCATAAAGTCCTCGGCGGTAACATGCCAGCCTGTAAGCTGCCCAACCCAGTGCTCCCTGGCTACCTGATTAGCAACACGCGTTTCCTGACTCTTGACTTTCACACCCGTCAACAGCTGAGTCTTACCCCTCAGGAGAAAGAGAGCTTTCCCATCCGGGCCTGGGCTACATCCACGGGTAGATCCTGACCCCACATCTCTTCCTTGACCCTTGTCACAAGGGACGGCACACAGGACTTGGTGACCGTCTCCTACGTGGCAGGGACCTGTCTACAATCAGCTTTAGGAAAATAAGAATCTCTTAGTGCCCTTAATTTGACCCATTTAAGCTGGAGAGGGGTTCCCTGTTTCTTCAAGTTTTTCTTATCATTCCCCCTTGGATTTCTAGCTTCCTAGTTTCAAACCACTTCTTGCAATTCTGTCCCATGCCCATAACCATTTCCACTGTGCTTCTAGTTCTCATCCTGTGTCTCTGTCGGCCTCTCTCTTACTCAACAGCTTTATGGAGATGGAATTCACACACTATACAACTCACCCTTTTATGGCGTATGATTCGATGGCTTTTAGTGTATTCAGGGTTGTGCATCTACCACCACAGTTTTAGAACATTTTCATCACCCCTGAAAGCAACCTTGCACCCCTTGGCTGTCACTCCCCGTTCCTCTCTTTCCAGCCCCAAGCAACCACTAATCTATTTTTTGTCTCTATGGACCTGCCTGTTCTGGATATTTCACATAAATGGAATCAGAAGATGCATAACCTTTTGGGACTGGCTTCTTTCACTTAGCACGACGTTTTCAAGGCTCATCTATGTTGTAACATCTAGCAGAATGCCATGCCTTTCATTGTTGAATGCTGTTGTATGGATGGATCACATTTTATTTCTCCATTCATTTGAATGGGACATTTGGGTTGTTTTCACTTTTTGGCTCCTGTGAACAACACTCCTGTGAACCAGTTTCTGCGCAGACCTATATTCATCCCTCTCGGGCGTATACCTAGGGGTGGGATTGCTAGAGCATACGGTAACTCTGTGTTTAACTTCTCGAGGAACTGCCAGACTGTTTTTCCACAGTGGCTGCCCCCATCCTACAGTCCCACCAGCAGTATATAGGAGGGTCTCAGTTTTTCCATCTTCCCATTTCTCTTTAAATTCTTTGATTAGGAGCCTCTAAGCGGACACAGCAAAAGATCACAAGGGCCATTGATCACCACATCCTGGTATTATGAGCACCACAGAGCTGCCTCCCTTCCTGCTTCCTATGCCCACAGAGGCTGGTTTCTACTCTACATTAGGTCTGGTCAGTCACTATCCATTTCAGTCTTGTGAGGGGACTGGTGAGCACATTCACCACACTACTGTGGATGGCTTCCCAACTTATTATTCTTTCTCAAGTCAATTTCACTCTGCAAAGTAATCTCAGCAAATCAGAGGGATCCATAAGCAGTACCTAAATGTCCTTGTGCACAGGAACACGAGGGATTCCAGCCAAGTACTTATTGTGGTCCCTTCCTCCCTCTGTCCCATGCTGCAATGGAGCCACGGGGCACCTGCTTAGACCACCTCTTTCTTTTGCTTTTCTCACCTCCTGAAACTCACCCACAACAATAACCAGAAGATAAAATGTTCTGAATTAGATAGTGTGACAGTTGCATAACTCTGTGAAAAATCCACTGAATGGCACGCTTTAAACGGGTCAATTTTATGATACATGAATTATAGCTCAATAAAGGTGCGATATTAAGGGAAAAAGAGGAGTGGCCTAAGTTTAAAATGTAACCACCCACGATGTGTTAAATGTATACTTAGTTAAATCTTTACAACATTTTTTTCAAGATATGATGTAAATCACCTTGTGTATTTGCTACTTTGAACACAACCAGATGCAACTTTATACTCAGTAGAAAACTATCTCAGAACAAAAGGGGAGAAGGAAGCAAATTGAATTTTACACTCAAGGGCAATTTTAACAACAAAAATTAAGCACCACAGCAGGGGCCCTTTCACCGAGGACATTGTTTTCATCAGTTCGCCCCTCCCCCATCCGTCACATTCCTCCTCCAGAAAATTCCTACAGGCAGCTCTGGAGCTGCACCTGGAGAAAGGGTTTTCAAAACATCGCAGCTCTCCACCACTTTGGGGGGGGGGGAGTAGAACTCAACTAATAAATAACAAAGAAACAAATTGTTTGGACTCCGATAGAGTTTTAAATTACTTAAGAGGGCCGAGATGAAAAGGTTCTCCAGGTCTTAGAGGGAATTTGAAGAAATGGAAACAGGACCTAGGGTGAATGAGGAAGGACGAAGGAGACCTTGACACAAGGATCAGAAATATGCTAAACATGTGGTAGGTAAACACCCAGGGAGGCACAGCTGGTGACCACAGCCCTAGTCCCAGGGGCTGGTGACAAGGGTAATGGCCCTGCAGCCGGTGGTAATTGCTACTGTGTGACAAGAATGAAAATTATAACACAGCTTATGCCAGAAACAATGTACATGTCACTTCAGCTTTCAAAGTGGAGGCATTCTCACATCAATTTAGGAAAAAAAGAGAGAAAAAGAAAAGAATCAAAGAATCGCTTTTTCCATTTCTCTATGCATGCCATTTAAAAATAAAATAAGCTGTATAAACCCAAAACAAATTATGTTTACAATAACTGCATTTATTATGCCTTCTGGCATTACGCTCTTACTTGCTTTGGAACAACCTTTTTCTCAAAAGGGCTTGACCCACAGGATAGCAAACTACTGATAAAGTGTACACCCTGACCCAGTCCAAACAACCGAGATGCTCAAGTTTTCCAGACTCTTTATTATTTGCAATGTCAGCCTAAAAATACAGGTCTGGGGGCATGCGCATACACACAGAACAAATAACATTTATTGAGCATTCACTATATGCTGGGCACTCTGCTATGCACTTTAGACATATTACCTCATGGAATCTCTCTAATCAATCCTTATTCCCATTTTAAAGGTGGGGGGGACTGAGGCTTAGCAAGGTTACATGGCTAATATGTGGTGGAATGGGGACCAGAACCCAGATCTGATGTGACACTGAAGCCTGCGCTCTTGACACTTATTCACACAGCTTTAGGATTAATCATTCACCCAGATACTGCAAAATCATCCCCAAATCGCCCTTGGCCATGGGGCTGTTCATGCTATCCTGAACTCTCTCTACCCAACAAGAAGAAAAAAGGCCCTTTAAGGCTTTTGGATGGAGTTCCATTCTCCCCAAATGAGGCGAAGGGGCAGGAGTCGTGTTCTTCACTCCCACCGTAAAACTTAAAGAAAACTTTTTTTTCCCCTCCCAAGAAAACTTTTTTACACTCTGTGCCAGCCATCTCTTCTAAGGCTTCCACCTCAACACAGCAACAGGTAAAAGAGACAGGGGGTTATAAACTACCACAAACCATGCAAGGATCAAGGGCCTCTGAGTTCTCCCTGCAGCGAAAGCTGCCTCGCACCATCTAAATTCTTCCACGAGGAACCGGAGTAAGGAAGCTCCAAAGCACACACACTTCGTATAGTTTTGTTACCCAAAAGCTCCCTAGCACGGAGGCGTCCACTCCACGGACGTGAGTTCTCCCAGAGGCCCGAAGCACCACGGCGCTGGTTACTGTTTATGGTTATCACTACATCCCCGGTCCTGTCCCGGGCGCTCCCGAACCTCGAGCCCGGTGACCTCCCTCTCCGGAGCGGGGGGAGGCTGCACCGCCCAAGGGCTGGAGCTCGGATGGGGCCAGCGGGCATCGTCTGCACCCCTGCAGTCGCCAGGCAGAGCCCAAACGCACTGAAGGGGCTGCCTGAACTGCAGGACCCGCCCGCCGGCTCGGAGGGGTCCACGGGGGCCCGGCCCGAGGCTGAGGCAGCCCCGGGGGTCCCGCGCCAGGGGCCGCCCCCGGGGCCCGACGGCGCCTTCCCGGGGCCCGAGACCTCCCTCCCGAGCTCCGTTCTCCTCGGGCCCGCCCCGCTGCCCTCACCTCGGCCCGGTCCCCCGCAGCCCGCTCGCCGCCGCCACCGCTGCCGCCCGGCCTCGCCGGATCCACAGCGACCCGCAGCCCCGGGCCGGAAGCGGGAAGCCGTGCGGGCGAGCTGCGCACGCGTGTCCCCGCCCCGAGGGCGGGTCAGAGGGCGTGGGCCTGGAAGGGGGCGGGGGTCGCGAGTCCGGGAGTCCCCGGAGCTGCAGACTTTGTTTCTGGCTGAACCTGGAGCGGGGTGGGAGGGACCTTCGCCCGGCCTTGTGGGGGGACCCCAGGACCGAACCGGGACGGTCTCTGCGAAGGGGGTGAGGACGATCCCCGGGAGCGGGTCAGCGGGGGTGGGGGGCGTCTTGAGGGACTCAGGGGGGGCCTGGAGCGGGGGATCAGCGGGCGCCTGGGCATGGCTAAGGGGATCGAGCCTGGGGCGAAAAGTCTGAGGGTAGGGTGCAAGCAATGGAGAAAACAGGTCCGTCACCTGAGAAGACAGGGGCAGCGTAGATTACAGGAAGCTTGACAAATCTGGGGAAAATGAGCCATATGCCTCTCAGGTGGCCCCAGACACCCCAGCATGGGTACGACCAGATACCCCTAATGCATACTAGGCACCCAAGCGGGTGCCATCAGAAACCCAGAGCATGCTTTCGGGTACCCCCGAATAGGTCAGACACCCCACCTCGATCTGTCAGTTACCCCAAAGTATTCAGAATCTGAAAAACATGCCAGAATACCCGAAAGTACCAGATACCTTCATCCAGGAGCCATCAGATACCCTCAAAATAGAAACATCTCAGAGACCCTACTCAGAAACCTTTAGATACTCCCCCAAAACACGTACTAGATACCCCCAATACAGATAATGTCAGATACCCCCAAACAGGTATTCAGAGTCTAAAATACATGCCAGACCACCCCCCACACAGGTGTTCTCAGACACTGGAAGACATGCCAGACGCCTCCCCCAGCGCAGCCACCCCCTCAGGTGCCATCAGACTTCCCAGCTCTAAGGCTGCTTGTTCCAATCCAGGTGAGACAGTTGGGCAGTACTCAGGAGAGGAACCAAGCCCCTCTCTCACCAGGTTCAAGCTGGCCAGCCAGGCCGAGATCTTAACAAGCCAGACTCACTTCAAAACACCCACAATCTGTGGCCGAGAGCCCTCAGTTCAGAAACGGGGTGGGAGTCCCCAAGTGACCTGCCTTCAGTTTAAGTCCATTTTGTCATGGTCAGGAGAGAGATCACGTCCAGGAAATTGGAGGTTCCAGAAGTGCAAGGACATGCTTCTGAAGTCAGAAACCTGACACAGGTACTTTTGAGGTCTCAATGGATGTGTAAATGTTCGCTCTCTGAGTTCCTATGACTTTTGGACTTTATTCCAAAGGCAGTGGGGAACGATTGAAGATTTTAAGCAGGAAAAGTGGCATGATCCTTATGGTTATAGCTCTCTTGGTTATAGAAACCTTCGGGTTGGCACAGTTCTCCCCTAAATGTAAAAACCAACTTTCTCAAGGAGCCTGGCAACAAGGAGAGGTATCTCTCGTCTTTCTTTTATCTTTCCACTGTGCATTTAGTATGTCCTTCTCATAGGCCAGGGACTCTGCTAAGAGCTAAGGAGATACAGGGAATGTAAGCCTATGGCAGTGTTTCTCAGTCTTGGCCCTATTGACAATTGGGGCTGGATAGTTGCCTGTTTTGGGGGGCTGTTCTGTGTATTGGAGGATGTTGAACGGCACCCCTGGCCTCCATCCACTTAGGTGCAAGCAGCACCCCAGTCCTGACAACAAGAAAATGCAAGATATTGCCAGCGTCCTCTGGCTGACAGCAACTGGCCTCAGAGACAGTCAGACACTGATACAGTTGCCCAATCCACAATCCAGGCTTCCTGGGGGAGTTGGCCCCGGCTTTGTTCTAAAGGGTGAGTAAGAGTTAGGTGGCCAAAGGAGTTCCAGGAACAGCACTGAATGAGCAAGGCGCCAGGTGTGTGTGGGCAGCCACGAGACTTCACAGTGGCTGAGTAGTGGAAGGCAAAAGTGGACAGGTAGGCGGGGTCAGACCGTGAAGAACCTCAGAGGTCAAGGCCAGTAATAGGACTGTCCGGAGGGGTGCGTGGGTGGCTCAGTTGGTCAAATGTCTGCCTTTGGCTCAGGTTGTGATCCCATCGTCCTGGCTCATCGTCTGCTTCTCCCTCTCCCTCTGCAGCTCCCCCTGCTTGAGTGCTCTCTCTATCACTCAAATAAATAAAATCTTAAAAAAAAAAACAAAACAAAAACTATCTGGAATGAGTTCTGTCAGTGGAGCTGGTCTCTGGGAAAGCATCTCAGCTTTACCCTGGCGACCCACCTTCCGTAATTACCTGGAGTGTGACTCATTCATTCCCTGTTCTGTTTAACTTACTACGGGGCTGTTTCCTCTAAGGGACAGATAGTAACATCTGGCTTTGAATACCTCCAGCGATGATAGGCTTGTGGCTAGTTATACCTGGGAGGTGCCTGCTCTCAGCCTGTAGGGAGTGAGCCACAGCTGATCTGGCCCCACGGGCCTCCTACGCAATTGTGGGAGCTGTGGTCAAAGCCCACGGTTGTGGGTCTGTGATTTAGCTGCTAGCTTTAACTCAACAACACAGGGGTATGATGATGATGATGATGGATGCTAACATTGCCCACATGTGCCAGGCACCATGCTAAGGGCAACCCACATGTTTTCTTTTACACCAGCTCAAATCTGTGATCGCAAATGGCTGTCCTGTAAATCAAATGTTGTCTCCAGGAGGTGGAGCTTGATTCCCACCATCCTGAGAGTAGGCTGGATTGAGTTACTTGCTTCCAAAGACTAGAGTAGGGAGATGGAAAGGATAGTAACCTGGCAGATGTTGCCTTAACCAGGGGACGAAGGTTAACATCCTCAGGGATATGAGATCGACAGCACTTAGCCCCTGATCTGATGAGGCAAGAAGTTTCCCAAACCCATAACCCTGTCTAATTATGAGAAAACATCAGGCAAACCCCGATGGGGGTTGTCCTAGACACCTGGCTAATACCTCTCAAGACTGTCAAGGTCATGAACAATAAGGAAAGACTGAGAAAACTTCACGGACCAGGGAGACGAAGGAGACAGGATGATGAAAGAGAACACGTTATTCTGAACTGCGTCTGGAAACAGAGAGAACCCGAACGGAAGAAGAAACCTTGGCGACACCTGAGGAAAAGCTGCAGTTTGATTAATAATACGGCACCAATGTGGATTCCTGAGTTGTGACCAATGTACGGTGGTCCCAGAAGATTCTACCGTGACGGGAACCCAGGTGAAGTTAGAAGGGGACCCTTTCTGCTCTCTCCACTTTTCTGTGATTCTTAAATTAAAAGCTGAGGGGAGAAAAGGGTTTACCTACCCCCCTCTGGGGGAGGGGTGGGAGGAGTTAGTCTGTTGTGCCAAGATAGTGCTAAGCATTATATGTGGATTGTCGACTGTGTGTGTATGGGGGGCAGGGCATCAGCGTCCCTAACCCCCTGCGTTGTTCAAGGGTGAACTGTACAGTTCTGTTGTTCGAACCACCCAGATTGTGGTATTTTGTGAGGCAGCCCTAAATGAGGGTTTTTGCAGTGACAAAAGCTGAGACAGGTGTTTTGTGGGCCCTGAGGTAACCACATGGGTCCTGCCCTTAAGGGACCTGGTGAGGTCAGCCTCCACTTGGCAAGGGTGAATGTGATGAGGACGTAACAGGCAAAGGAGGCCACGAGAGAATGAGAGGCAATAAAGCAGAGAAAGTGGCTGCCATCCAGAGGGCTGGGCCGGGCCACGGGACTTACCAGAGCTCAGAAAGGGTTTGCCGCACAGGGGGCAGCTGGAGTGGCCAAGGAAGGTTCCTTGCGCCAGCTGGTGCCCGTTGATACATTCCTTTCTCTCTCTAGCATCCTGACCCTTGTCCTTTAGAAGCACTGGGCTCTTCCCCTGTGGGGGACAGAAGTGAACCTTAGAATGCCTGGTGCATTCAGACCTACCTCGAATCATGGGGCTCCAGGGCCGGGGGCATATTGAGGAACTAGAGAAGGTAGAGGGAGGTCCTTGCTGGCGCGGCCCCCTGACCTTCTCCTTCTGCCTGGTGACCCGACAACGTAGGGAGCTCAGTCTGCGCTTCACCCTGGTGCTCCTGTTACTCCGCTCAATCTTGCTGGCGCCATCCTCGCTCCTAAGGGATGGAAAGATGAATGAGGTGGGGCAGCAGGGCCAGAGGGCCATTTTCAGCCTGTCCTACAAGTTGCTCCTGGACCCCACCTGGAATTTGTCTCCTCCTCATGGCCCCCTAGTCCTGTTTCACTTCTTCTGTGGTCCCTGAACTCTCTCTTTCTGCCTCTCGCTTATTCACTCAACAAACATTTACAGATGTTTGCAAAGTTCCAGGAACTGTGGGGCTGGGTTTACTGAGGGGACTGTGACATGGTCTCAGGCTTGGGGTCCCTCAGTGGGCGAGGCTGGAAATCCTGGCTCTGTCCATTTCTGTCTCCTCTCTCTGATTCACCCCTGGCCCCAATATCTAATCAGCTTATAAATCCTGCCCATTCTTCCTTTGGGATATCTCTCAAATCCCGCTCTCCTCTTCCCCCTAACACTCCAGCCCCAGATTACTGGATTACTGGTACCCCCTCATTTAATTAATACAGTTGATCCTTGAATAACTTAGGGGTTAGGGTCGCCAACCCCCTACACAGTCAAAAATCCATGTATAACTTGCGACTCCCCCACAAAGTAACTACTGATAGTCTACTTTTGATCAGAAGCCTTACTGGTAAAGTCAACAGTCAATGAACACATATTCTATGTGTTATAGGTATTAGGTACTGGGTTCTAACGACAAAGTAAGCCAGAGAAAAGAAAATGTCATTAAGAAAATCATTAGGGAGAGAAAATACATTTACAGTCGTATACTCTATTTATTGAAAAAAAATCCATGTATCAGCGGACACATGTAGTTCAAACCCACGTTGTTCCAGGATCAGCTGTGTTTATTAAGTCGGCGGCAAACCAACCCAGCCCTCGTAGAATCGATTCACTGGAGGGAGAT